TTATCACTAATGAACAGGAAGCATCTCCTACAAAAGATATTCCCCCATCCTCAGCTTGTTCAGAATTACCAGTAATTTTTCAATCATCCACTTCAACTATTGAAACTTACTCCGATGAAGAAAACGATATAGGCTCTATGGATCCAAATCTGGTACAAAATGTTATTTCTTCTGAAACGGATCTTGACAATGCCCCTAAACAGGTAGTAAATATCACTTCTGTTACATCTAATCTCAGCGAAATTGAGCAAAGCTCAGAATCTGCGTCATCTATCTGCACAGAAACTAAATTATTGGAGGATAGGGAGGTTGATGAATTTCTGGATTCAACGTATAAGGAAAAGATTAGTAACGAAATAAGAGAAATAAATCAGGAAAAGAAGTTCAGATCTCAAGACCCTTTATCATATGATAAAGATATTTCGCAATCTAATAAAAACAAAGTACAGAAAATCATGTTAGAAGTTTCTGAAAACTCTAGTCCGCAATTACAATATACCGATTCTATTATCTCCGAAGGAGGCACGGCTAATGGTAATGTAGATAGGGACGTGACTAGCAATACTAACTTTACACTTTTATATGAAAAACTTTGTGATGCAATAATTCTTGCTGATCGTAAAATCCAAGAATCTATCGTGTGTTATTGCCTATTTGGAAAGGCTCTTATTCAAAGACGTAATGAAATAGCATCGGAAAAACAAGTTGATCCAGAATCTAATATAGTTAGAAGAATTTTAAATAAAGAAGTGAAAGCACAATTGCCAGCAAATACTTCTGATAGCCTTTTACGTAAGAGAATCGAAAAAGCAAAGAAGCTTTATAAACTTTTCGATGCAATAGGTATGGATAAAATCTATCGCATTCATTCCTTTTCAGCTGACAGTATATCTAAATTGACAAAGAAAGATATTCAATATATTATAGATAATATATCCTTTAATTATAACATTCAAATTGAGTTACATAGTGATGAGAAAAATCCTGAGCATATGACCCAACTTTGTGAACCGAGTTCACGAAGTGATAATGAAAATTTCTCTGATTTAAAAGTTGAGG